CTTGATGTTTCATGGGCTGCTGCAATGGGGATGGGTAAGGAGAGGAGATGAAAGCAGAACACAACTTGACCCACCTTCAATTCATCCAGAAAGGAGCCCCCACAGCCAAAGAGGGATACATGGCTTCTACAGAGGATTGTACAGAAGCCCCAGAGCAAGCACATGTGGATGTGCGGACACAGGGTATTTCTAGGCAAGTGCGCACCTGTTCCTTCCATCTGGAATAGCAAATAAAAGGAGCAGAAGAGAAACAGTAAAGAAGAAATTGATTTCCTCTAAGTATTTCCCAGACTGACACATCCTCCCCTGTCTCATACTCTTTGAAAGAGGTAGTGTGGGTCTGGGACATCCGGGAAAAGAGAACAGGAGAAAATGATTACTGTGGTTGATTGCAAGGATTACAAGTTTCTGAACTTCAAACTTCACCATCTCCAATGCCCACTCCGCAATGGTTGTCAATATCCCTGCACTCTCTCTGGAGTTTTTAGTTTATGGACAGAAACTTCAAAGAGTTAAGAACCAAGTCAAAGGTAAGGGTTGCCTTGTGCCAGGAGGTGATGCTGTACAAGGGCAGGATGTGCAGGGGGTGAGCAGCTGGAAGCCCATGAGCCATGTCGGGGTAGGGTGGTAATGTGGGAGGTGGTCGGTGTGTGCAACTAGCTGGTTCTTTGAGTCTTGTTGAGAACAAATGCTGAGAACACAAAGTGCCTCCCATCGGGAACTCTGAACCCCATTGCCCTAGAATATGTGTTTCCTTCTTCTCTCTAGGGCTATCCCTGACAGCCAGCCCCTCTCGGCCCACAGAGGGGAAGTCAATGACCCTGGCCTGTAAGACCTTTCCACAGAAGTTAGATGGCCAGCACCAGTTCCGCTTCTACAAAGATAACCGGGCTCTAGGACTGGACTGGAACAGCTTCCCAGAACTCCAGATTCCTGCCGTGTGGAAGGAGGACTCAGGATCCTACTGGTGTGAAGCAAAGAGCATGCAACAAAAAGTCACACGGAGCCCAAGAGTCCCGATAGAAGTGCACAGTGAGTGCCGGCGGGGCCCTCTGCTGGGGTGGGTTGAGAAGGGCGAGGCAGAGGCTGGTCTGCCCTGGTTCTGCTCCTGCGTGAAGGGATGCTCTCTGAGACAGGTACCTGAGCTCTTCATCAGAGTTCCTAAGGGGTCTTCCCTTACCCTTGCTATTCCCATTCAAGCAAATCAAAGAATATTTAGGAAGCCCTTACTGTGCGTCTTCACTGTGCTGGAGGGTGTGGAGGAAGTAGCTGCATAATAGATGGTCCAGGACTGTGAGAAGCTGATGTTTCACTGGCGTCCTTAACAATTAGGGTGAAATATGTGGTGAGGCTGTACTGGTTGACTATTAATAGAAACTACAGTGAGGGGAGAAATCAGAATGAGGTGGTATGAGGAGGCTTTGAGGAAAAGGCTATTGGGGAAAAGCTTATGGAAGAGAAGTTAAAGCATGATTTTGAAAGATAAAGAGGAAAGGAGGTAGTTTTGTAATTCTGAAACGTGTTATTCCATGTCAGGGCTGACATTTCTGGCATCCTCTCCCACACTCAGACAAAGACGTATCTATGATACCATAAAGCACATGCTAATTCCTCCAAAGCTGGGCTTTCCCAGACTTGCTCAAAACGCAACACGGTGAACCCGGACCACTGCCAAAAAACAAAACAAAACAAAACAAAACAAAACCAAAAAAAAAAAAACCACTGGACAGTTCATATGCCACAGGCCCTGTTGTAGTGCTTCGCACATATTGTTTTACTGAACCCTCACAACTGTAGGAGGTGACTGTCACTGTAATTTCCATTCATCAGATGGGAAATTGAATCTCAGAGAAGTTAAGTAATTTGATCAAGCACAACACTAGAAGAGTTGGGACCCACATTCAAACCCAGGCAGTTTGATTTGCAACCTAGACTTGTAAGCACTGCACTATTGTGCCTTGAAATGGGAGTTTGAGAGACCCAGGTTCTAGGAATCATACCTTTCCAGGCAGGGAAATAACACTGCAACCCTCATGGGAGTATTGTGGTACCTTTCTTACCCTACCACCATCAAACCAAGCAGTGTCAATTCCAAATCAGCAGACTCCCACACCCCCTGCCCTGAACCTTGCCTCACCATTAAACTTATATAAACTATTGACTTTACCCAAGGACTTTGCTTTCCATGCTGTCACACATACTCTGTCCCTGAAACTCTCTCTACTCAGGGCCCTCCTGTATCATCTTCTGTTCATGTAGGAGTCCCCGTCAGTAATGTGAGCTTGGAGATACAACCTCCAGATGGACACCTGGTGGAGGGAGAGAAGCTTGTTCTTGTCTGCTTGGTTGCTGAAGGCACAGGAGATATCACCTTCTTCTGGTACAAAGGGGCCTTGGGTTTAAACCTGGAAGTGAAGACCCAGCGTTCACTGACGGCAAAGTTTGAGATTCCTGCAGTGACGGAAAGTGATGCTGAGCAATATTACTGTGCAGCTGACAATAGCTTTGGCCCCAGGCTCAGCGAGCTGGTGAGCATCACTGTCAAAAGTAAGTTCCACTGCCCTTCAGCTCAGCCAGCATGTCACAACCTGGGGTCCATATTCCCCTGGGGCACCTTGAGGAAGTTCAGTAGAGCTGAGCCTTTCTAGGCAGGGATTATGAGTCTGTCACATCATCAGAGACCCTCTCTGAAAGTCTACTATCTCCATCAGTTCCAGTGTCTCGCCCTGTCCTCACCCTCACGGCCCCCAGGGCCCAGGCTGCGGTGGGGGATGTGGTCCAACTTCACTGCGAGGCCCGGAGAGGCTCTCCCCCGATCCAATACTGGTTTTATCATGAGGATGCCACCTTGAAGAACAGCTCAGCCCCCTCTGGAGGAGGAGTGTCCTTCAACCTCTCTCTGACAGCAGAACATTCTGGAAACTATTTCTGTGAGGCCAAAAATGGCCAGAGGGTCCAGCGCAGCGAGGTGGTGCCACTCAACATCACAGGTACAGCTCACACCGTGGAGCTACCTTGGTCAGTGCCTCTTTCCCAGGATCCTGGGAGAGTTTTGCTGACCCCGCGATGTTTCCAGTGGTGTGCTACCAAAGATGGGGCTTCTGCAGGGTAGTGCAGTCCTGGAGATGTATCTGGGGGAGCGTGGAGGACGTGGAGGCTGGTGCCTCTCTTCTTTCAACCATATGATAAGCTGCAAGTCCCTAGGTACCTAAATAAGTCCCACCTCTCTAACTTCCCCAGAAAGAGCAGACCTTGGCCTCAACGCACACTCAAGATGTCTGCTCTCCAAACCCAAGCCCTTCTCCTTGGCAGCTCATGCACAGGTCTCTCCCTTCAGTGCCTACAGAAGACAGAAAAAAACTTCTTACTTCAGGAGCCTTTGGCATCGTTGGTTTCATCACTATGGCCCTATTATTTTGCTGTTGGCTCAAAAGAAAAATAGGTTAGTATATACAGAGATTAGTATTTTGTTACTGTGACCTTTGTTTTCACTGAAATAAGGCTATTTGTGACATGTGCACTATAAAGGATGAATTTGTCCCATTATCCACCTTGCCTGCAGATCTGTCACAGCCCCCAAGCTCATGGGATGGCGCCTATTAAACTAGTGAAAGTTTTTAGTTAAGCCCTTTATCCCCATGTGTTATCAGTCATGCTTCTGTGATTTAATTTTTATTTAAAAATTTTAATTTATTTAAAATAACTGATCAGCCACCAGAAGAGAAATACAATGAGCAGTTCCAGCCGTACTGACCATCTCCCAGTTAAAGTCAATGCATTAATTCTTATTCGTCTTGGAGTATCATCACATGGTTTTTCTTCTCCCTGAAATGCTCATCCACACATCCACACAGTCTACTCGTTGCTGGATCTTTCTCACCTTTCAGCTTAAATGTTATTTTCCCCAAGAGGCTTCACCTGGCCACACAGCCTAAAACTCTCTTCTACTGTTCTTCATCAGAGGACCAAGGGTTTTTAGCTTCACATTTTATTACAATTGGTAATTATGTATTTATTTGTATGTTTAATCTTGGTCTCCTGTTCTCCACTGAGCAAGTTGGAGATGGGGCAAGAGAGGACAATGTGAGATTCTCACTTAAATTCCAAGCTTTCTGGGCATCTTTGGACATTTTACCCCAACTATGGTGAGTCTGTGGCAGTGCCTAGTCTGATTGTAAAACCAAAACTAAAAAATATAGTAGGTGTGCTGGTACAGAGGCTTGGGCTCAAGTTCAGTTCTGGTGTTAACTGTCTTTAGGAAGCTTAGCTAAGCTGGACCAGAGTCTCTCCATCTGCAGTATAAAGCATCTGCCTAAATGTCAAGCTATCCTCTGGGCACACAGTGGCATCCTATGTTGGGCATCTCGAAACAAGGCACATTCCCTGAGCCAGGACTGTATGAAAGTACCCAGAAAGTTCCTTAATTGACATATATTTTCATTTGTTTGACTTGCAGGAAGACGTTCAGCCAGGGATCCACCCAGGTGAGGCCTCTGTTTCCTTCGTGGGCCCTGATGATATAGAAAAATATGTTTCAAAAATGTGAATTGTTCTCTTTCATGAGCTTTTTTCATATTTTGTCATCTCCAAAAATGCCACTCCAAAGATCTTCCACTGAAAAGTTTGAACATCCTCTTGCGATTCCACTCTTTTTACATATTAGCTAATTAATTTAGATCCTTTCATCATTCTTCCCAATTTATCTCCTTCACTCAATCTGCAGAATAAGAACATTGTATTATTTTGACCAGTTTCATGCATTTACTCAATCAATTAACTAACATCCGAGAGTCTGTGAGTCATTTGGTTGAGTGCTAGAAAGCATGGAAATATGGAAAGATCTTGACAGCCTTAAAGTATTTAGCTATATACAGATTTCTCTAATGCAGGCCAGAGAGTAGTGAAAATGCTGAAAAATTGTTGATGAAGTTCCTTAGAAGATTAGTGGAGGAAAAGATTTTTAAAATACTTCCATCTGGGGATATCCATGTTTAGTTGATACCTTTTAATACTGTTATTATTTTTTACCATCAAAAACCAGATTTTCACCCCAAGACAGAATAGAGTTTTTCAGCAGTATATGTACATGCAAGACCATTTACTGCTCTTCCTTCCTCAAGCTGCTCGTTCTGCCCAGCAACCTGTTTCCATCTGGGGTGAATCAATATTTCTTGAGCCCTGTGATGTGAATGGCACTGTTCTGGGTGTGGGCAACACCACAGTGAGCCATAAGATAAGGACTTACACTCATGGAATATGTACTCTAGTGATGCTCCGCAGTGCCCTGCTTAGTGTAGGTATAGGGCCGTGGCTTGTACCAGACAGCTGTGCTGATTGCTAATTTTCCCATAAATTAGTATCTGCTCAGGACACCTTCTAACAGGCTTTTCTCCTTCAGTATTTTACTCATAAACCCAGATAGTTATGCCTGGGACATCTGGGATGCACCCCAAGATAGATAGCATGTGTTTCTGTGTTCGCAGGAATCCTCCCAGCCCTGCACCCCAAGAATCCAACTACCTCAACTCGCAAGCCCCAGGGCAACTACAGCCTGAATACGAAAATGGTAAAGCTTCCCAATGACCTGGACCAAAGTAGGTAGAGCGAGCCGGGGAAGAGGCAACGAGGTGACGCCTGTTACGCAGACCTGACCCTACTGTGTCCCAACCACCTCTGCAAATAAATGACTCGTCTGCTTTCATGGCTGTGATATGATAGGTGGCAGGTATGGAGTGAGTTACGTGGCAGGAGGAAGGGACTGTATCCTGATGCCTCCCTTTTTCTCTTTCAGTGAACCTTGTAAGTGGAGACGAGATTTACTCTTTGGTGTACTGCGTGCAGCAGGAACAGCACTCAGCAGTAGGTGAGGCATGAGGGAGTGGATCTGTCTCTGACTTTTGTCTTTCCTGGAACCAGGAGGATAGTCAGGGACCGTGTATGACAACATGGCAGTGCTCTTCAGTGCTGCTGCTTCTGCCCTTGAAACTGACTAAGAGCATTGTCTGAAGATTGGCGTTTGGTCTGGAAGCTGCCTTGAGTAGATCCCAGTGCTGTTGCTAACTTGGCCTCCTGTATATCTCACTCCCAATCAGATGGCAGTGCTGGAGATGGTACCCACTATGCACTCCCTGCAGACCCCAGTGCAGCTGCCTAGTTGCTGATGTTGACCCATCCAGTACTCTGTGGGCACAGAAATGCTGAGAGGTACAAACGCCAGGAGGGACCTACTGACCCTTTCAACCCCAGGCTGCCAATTTTCCTCTGTACGGCAAGGGAATCATATTTGTAATAGGCAGAAAAAGCAAGACTGAAAATATTAATGGAAATAAATCCATGGGAAACAGATGGGAGAGAAAGAAGTCTATTAACACTGATTCAGTGAAGCATTTAAAATGGAATCTTACAGTACATACTTTTGTCTTCACAGACAAACCCCTGGGGATCCATACTGAGGACAAGGTGAGTTGGAGTCCCTGTTCTTTCCTCCATGTTCTTTCTCTCCTTCTTCTGAGGACTGGTTCTCATACTTTAAAAATTATGACCACTTATGGAAAATAAAAGATCTCATGGTCTATCTCCTGCCTTATCTCCCCACACCATGGTGATAAAAACATTTATAGTAAAGTGTCATCGTATAAAGCAATTTGGGGGGCTCACATACACATTTTTAAAGCAATGGACATATGGGTGGTTTGTGGCTAAACTGTAGTGCATGCCTGGTCTAAAAATTCTATTGACTTGAAAATCTTTATCCTGAAATACTGTTGAACCATACACTTTGTGCTGGCATACAACATGTCAAAAACTAAGTTAATATTGAATAAAGCAAAACTAGTAGTGATTATTGTCATTATAAACCAGTAATATCTAAATCTTGATCAATTCATCACTGGTGATACAAAAATGCTTTCTGAAAATCGCAGAAATTCCAACTCTGCTTGTGTGCCAGGAGATAGGCGCTTTGTAATTTTGTCTAGCTGTAATTTTGCATCTGGTGTAGCAGCCAGATGTCTCAGGACAGAATTCAAGTGCTTGATAAACTCCAGTGACAGGGTAAATTTAGTTTTTGAATACAAAATTCTGACATCCTTAAAAAGTTTAGCCCACAGAACTGCCTAACAATGGCCCATACGAATGAGAGAAGGCCTTGCATGTTTAGATCTGTCTGCTCCTCAGGAGCACCTGTGTAGCCCACCAGTGGGATGCAGCCCCTTTCAAAACGCTGGCCTCGGGCCACAGTCTTCCAAGAGGCTCCGAGTTATGTGCTGAGTGATGCCCCATGATAGGGGGCACCCAGACTGATCGGGGAAAAGAACCTGTGGGAGACATGGCTACTTGTCTTCCCTGCTCAGGTCCTACCCATGTACCTTCGTTTCCAGGACTCCTTAGACATCTATTCGAGGCTGAAGAAGGCAGATCTTACAGATGTGGACTATGAAGATGCTATGTAAAGAAGGTTCTGCTCTTTGGAAACCCCCATGACCCCACACCTCATAACTAAAATGCCCTTTGGAAATCCTGGGGGATTCCATTACACCTCATCCAGGTGTTTTCCTCCATAAGACGATTTCTGCATCTCCTGGGAAGTGACGTTAGCTCCAGCTTTGAAGGGATCACCCAGGAGAACCAACAAGAACTCAGGAATGGGAAGATCTTTGTTGTCAGAACCCAATTCCCATTGGTACTTTCAGGTACAGGTCAAACTGTGCTCTAACTTTTTACAGGAGAAAACAGGATGGGATAAAAGAACTTGAGATCTTGGGGTAGAGGGACAGTGAAGCTTAGAGTACACAAACCCAAGACTAGTGATTTTGTGGGACTGCTCCATACAGAGAGCTACGTCCACCATCAAGTGCTTTCTCTGCTCAGACAGTACAGAGCTCTAACCCTACCACTTACATTAATCATCCTATTTCTGCATAAAATATGTGGCTCAGTGCATTTGGGGTCACTGTTACCAAGTTAGAATTAAAACAAAGTTACATAAAAAGTTATTGTGGTTACACTTAATTTTAACACTGTATTTTGTATGCACAGGCCAGTCTCGATGCTCCCCTATTTATAATGAGATGTAATCTTAGTAGGTTTCACTGCATCCAAAGTTCTGTATTTGTTGCAGCCTCTAGAAGCTTTATGAATATAATTCTTTCTTAATTTACAAACTTTTTGAAAATACGTGATAACATGATGTGAAGTCTATATTTTAATTTTAAAACAATCATAAGCTAACACATAAGTTAAAACATTTTAAAAGTATGTCATATAAAAATCAAAGCCTTCCCTATAAACTGACACCATAAGTGGTACCCGTTGTTAAATACTTAGTATTATTAAAAATCTTCGTTCTGCACACATTTTTAAATTTTTTTGTAGAAACCCATTCTACATATGTGTGAATATAAATTTAGAAGTATACCTATGTAATAAAATATTACAAAATATTTTCAAGTCTGCGTATAGATTATCGTACTGTTGTAAAAGGTTGTGTAGTACCCTGTTATATGATAAATCATAATATGTATTTTCTTTTTTATTTTGTGTTTCTTCTACTTTTTCTTTTTTATTGAGGTAACATTGATTTGTAACATTATGTATGTTTTATGTGTATATTCTATTTTTTAAACTGAAGTGTAGTTGATTTGCAATGTTCTGTTAGTTTTAATTTGTCTTCCGTTTACACTACAGTGTGCTTACCACCAGAAGGTTAGTTTCAATTTATTACCGTATAGTTGGCTCCTTTTATCTATTTTGCCCTCTTCCCACCCCCTTCTCCCCTGGTAACTGCTAATCTGTTCTTTGTATCTATGTGTTTGTTTCTGTCTTGTTTTTGTGAGTGTTGTAAGATATGGGTCAAGTTTCATTATTTTGAATATGAATATCCAGTTTTCCCGACATCATTTATTGAAGAAACTGTCCCTTCTCTGTTGAGTATTTCTGGCTCTTTTGTCAATTATTAGTTGACCATATATGCATGGGTTTATTTATGGGCTCTCAATTCTGTTTCAATGGTCTGTGTCTGTTTTTATGCCAACACCATACTGTTTTGTATTATGATAGCTTTGCAATACAGTTTGAAATAAGGAAGTGTGATGTCTTCAGCTTTGTTGTTCTTTCTCAATATTGCTTTGGCTATTTGGAGACTTTGGTAATGCCATACAAATTTTAGGATTTTTTTTTTGTTATATTTCTGTGGAAAATGTCATTGGGATATTGTAGGGATTGCATTGAATCTATAGATGGCTTTGGATGGTATGGACACTTTAACAATATTAATTCTTTCAATCCATAAACAAGGATTGCATAAAATGGATATCTTTCCATTTATTTGTGTTTTCTTCCATGTCTTACATCAAGGATTTATAGTTTTAAATGTACAGATCTTTCACCCCCTTGGTTAAATTTATTCCTAAGCATTTTATTGTTTTTGATGCTGTAATACATGGGATTGTTTTATTTCTTTTCAGATAATTTGTTGTTAATGTATAGCAATGCAATTGATTTTTGTGTGTTTATTTTTTATCTTGAAACTTAACTGTATTTTATTATTTCTAACAGTTTTTTGGTGGAGTCTTTAGCATTTTCTATATATAAGATCAAATCATCTGCAAACAAATATTTACTTCTTTCTTTCTGATTTGGATGCATTTTGTTTCTTTCTCTTGTCTAATTGCTCTGGTTAGGATTTTCAGTGTTATGTTGAATAAGAGTGGTGAGAGTGGGCACTCTTGCTTGTTCCTGATCTTAGAGGAAGTTTTCAGCTTTTTCACCTTTAAGTATGATGTTAGCTGTGGATTTGTTATATGTGGCCTTTTCTATATGGAAGTACATTCCTTCTATACTCAATGTTCAGAGTTTTTATCATTAAAGGATGTTGGGTTTTGTCAAATACCTTTTCTGCATCTATTGAGATGATCTTATAGTTTTAATTTTTATTCTAGTAAATTGATATATTCCATTTGTTGATTCGCATGTATTGAACCATCCTTGTATTCTAGGTATGAATTTCACTTGATGATCATAATGTTTGATCCTTTTCACATGCTGTTGGATTCAAAGTATTTTGTGGATTCTTTTTGCATCTATATTCATCAGGGATATTGGCCTGTAGCTTTTTCTTCTTGTAGTGTTCTTGTTTCACTTTGGTATCAGGGTAATTCTGATCTCATAAAATATTTTTGTACATGTTTATTTTCCTTCCATTTTTTTGAACAGCTTCTGTTGGTATCTGCTTTACATATTTTGGTACTCCAATGTTGGATACATAAATATTTACAATTGCTATATTTTCTTAATGAATTGACCCCTTTTACATACATAATGACCTTCTTTATCTCATATTATAGCTTTTGACTTAAAGTCTATTTTGCCTGCTATATATATAATAGCTCTCTTTTGGTTTCATTTACTCAGAATATTTTTTTTCTTCCCTTCACTTTGATCCTATGTATGTCCTTATAGATGATGTGTCTCTCTTGTGAGCAGTGTATACTTGAGCCTTGTTTTATTATCCATTCAGCCTTTTGATTGAAGAACTGAATTACTTTACATTTAAATAATAACTGATATGTAAGGATTTACTAATGCCAACTAATTCATTATTTTCTGTCTGTTTTGTAGTTCTCTGTTCCTTTCTTCCTCTCTCATTGCTTTTTTTTTCTGAATTGATGATTATTCATAGTAATATGTTTAGCTTCGTTTCTTTTTATATTTTGTGTACTACTGTATGTTTTTGCTTTATTGCTGCTATGAGGCATAACTTACATAAAACATCTTGTAAACATAACAGTCCATTTTATGCTGATAACAACTTCAGTTGCATGCAAAACTTCTACCTTGTTACTACTTTCATATTATGTTTTTGATGTTACAGTAGATCACTTTTTGTAATGTGTAGGTATTAACAAATTATTATCATTATATTTATTTTTAAACTTTTGTCCTTTAAATTTTATGCCAGAGTTAACTGGTTAACATCACCATATTGTAGTATTACAGCATTCTGAATTTGACTATATACTTACCTTTACCAATGTGTTCTATATCTTTGTATGTTTTTTATGCTGTTAATTAGCATTCTTTCAACTTAACTCCTTTCAGCATCTCTTATAAGGGAAGTTTAGTGGGTGATGAGCTCCTTCAGCTTTTGTTTGTTGGGAAAGTCTTTATATCAACTTTATATCTGAAGGACAACTTTTCTAGATAGTTTTCTTAGTTGTCAGTATTTTTCTTTCAGTGTTTTGCATACATCATCCCACTTCCTTCTGGCTTGAGAAATCCGCTGATAGCCTAATGGGTGTTACTTTGTATGACAGAATTTTTTTCTTGCTATTTTAAAAATTCTTTCTTTTTCTACGGTTTAAGACAATTTTATTATCATGTGTCTTGGAAAAGATTGTTTTGAGTTGAAATTTTGGATGGTCTATTAGCTTTATGAACTGGATATCTAAATCTCTCTCTAAATTTGGGGTGTTCTCAGCAATTATTACTTTAAATAAGCTTTTTGTCCCATTTGCCTTTTCTTCTTCTGGGATTCCAATAATGAATAGATTATTTCTTTTAATGATATCTCATAGTTCTTATAGAATTTCTTTACTTTTTAATTCTTTTTTTTCTCTATTCTCCTCTGATTGGATATTTCAAAGAATGTGTCTTCAACTTCTCAGATTCTCCTGCTTGATCTAGTTTATTATTGATGGTCTCTGTTGCATTTTTTATTTCATTCATTGTATTCACAGCTCTAGAATTTCTGTTTGGTTCTTTTTTTTATGATTTTTATCTTTTTGTTAAACTTTGCATTTTGCTCATATATTACTTTCCTGATTTCATTGAATTATCTTTCTGTGTTGTCTGGTAGTTCACTGAACTTCCTTAAAACAGTGATTTTTTTAATGCGTAAATCATGGATCCATATTTCTTTTTTTTCTTTCAAGTTTCTACATTTTTTTTAAATTGAGTTTTAGTTTACAATGTTGTGTCAATTTCCAGTGTAGATGTTGGTTATTGAAAATGATTGTATTCCTTTGGTAGTATTATATTTCCTTTATTTTTTATGTTTATTGGGATCTTGTATTGCTGCCTTTACATTTCGGAAAGCAGTCACCTTCTTCAGTCTTTACTGACTGATTTTGGGAGAAAAATACCTTCTGTCAAACCTGCTAGGAATTCTAAGGCTTTCTTAGATCTCTTCTGTGAGTACACCTGATCCTCATTTGTGTTCTTTCTTGTAGCAGAATTCTTAGGTTGGTATGCCTTCTCTTGATCTGTACAGCCAAGCCAGGTGCTGCCAGACTCCCTTTTGCTTTCTCTATGGTGGTCCTGAATGCTTAAGTTGTGTTATTTCTCCTAAGCCCACAGAGTTGTTTCAGCTTTCTGTGTGTGTTCATTAGCCATTTTCAAAGGCTGGTTCTTGCTGCTGTTGGGAGCATGCATGAAGAACCAGCCCTGCATTGGGAAATGTGTGAGTGAGGCCTGTGGAATGCTGTAGGTGTCTGTGAGCTACTTGTGATGCAGTTAGTTGCACTTGTGTCCCTTTAGTCCCATCTGACAGCCCTATCTGCCACTTTCCCTGTTAGTCACAGAACACATGTCAATATTCCCTTTCAGTGTGTCCAATATCTGATTTTTTTGGCCCAGCACTGTGTTGGAACTTCTCAGATGGACTCAAAGGCATTCTTGTTCTTGGGGGATTGTCTAAATTGGTGGCCTTGGAGGAAAGACGGAAGAAAACTATTATTCTGCTATGATGATAATGTCACTCCAGTCCAATATCTTTCTTCATGAGCTTTAACTTTCTAGTTCGTTTTGCTACAGTCTGTGAGTTCATTTGTCCAAAAGGTGCAAAAGCAGATTTTAAGACTGATAGTTTACTTCTGCTCTCAGTAGTTTTAATATTTTATTCCATGGTCTTCCTGCTTCTATTGCTGCCTTTGAGAAAATTTCTCTCAGTTTAATTGTTATTTCTTTGTAGTTAATCTGTCTTTTCTCACTGGTTAGTTTTAAGTCTATCTTTGGCATTATGTAGTTTCATTCTGATGTGCCTAAATATGAATTTATTTTGCTTTAGATAAATGCTTCTTAAATTTGAGGATTCATGACTTTAAGCTTAGAAAATACTTAGTTATTATCTCTATTATTATGTTGCCTCATCATTGTCTTAATTCTTTCTTTCAGAAATTCATATTAGAAGTTCTCTGGACCCTCTCACGCTATTCTCATGACTCAATTAGTTTTTTCAATTTTTCACGTCTTTATCAAACTTGTGGCATTCTGGGCAATTTCTTAATCTCTATCTTCCAGCTATATCTACTTTATTGTTTAATCTATTTCTTTCTTATTTCAATGACTTTTAAAAATTCCTTTTGAGAGGTATTAGTAGCAAAATTTTAAAAGCATGGTTTCTGAAGAGGTGTCTGGATGTACATTTTGGCCCCACCATTTACTAGCCCTGCAGTTTTGGTCAAATTAATTAACCTTTGTGTGTCTTTCATGCTTAAAATTGGGATAGCAATTGTACCCAATGTATAATGCTATTTTGCTAATTATGTAAAAATCATTTGTTTAAAATGCTTCAAAGTATATTTGGCACACATTAAGTTCTCAAAAATATTATTATTACCACTTTTCAGATTTGCCTTTTTGTTATTTAGAGTATTGTACTGTTATGGGCTTAATGCAGTTGACCCTTAAACAACGTGCGTTTAAACCTTGTGGGTCCACTTACATATGAATCTTTTTTTCAATACATGTACTACTACA